GATGCTGGGCACTTTTTTCTTTATTATTATCATTGATATCGCTTCCTTTCTTGAAAATTTTTTTTGAGAGAATGGGTCATCTTATTGCTGCCAAAATATGTAAGCATGCAAAATAAGAAAAAAATGTTATTATTTCAGAAGTAGGAAACACTGAAAAGAGTACTAGTAACCTTTAACGGGTAGTTAAACCTTATAAAGTTTTAAGTTTTATATATAAGCTTATATAGCTATATATATTAGTTTTATATATAATATACTGTAATATCTGCTATGTTAATTAAATTTAAAGAAAGAAATGAAGGAAAAGCAGATTTCTAAGAATTTTTCATTGGCTGTTTAATTTTTTTTATCTGTGTGTGCATTTGTGTCCGTATGTGAGTGGTAGTTTAGAATTAATATTAACATGCCAGTTCTTTTAATTACCATATGTCCACGAATAATCGAATAAGATGCACACACGATTTTTTGGATGCACCAAAAAAGAAAAAAATGTTCGTGAATATGGGCCACATATTTTCATCAAGCCGACTGAAAGCTTAATTTACAGAAAGAAGATCTTTTCCCTGGATTATGAGCACAAAGAAATATGATACCGATTCACAGTTATCAGGAAAGGAATCTGAGCTGCAACCTGCAGATTTTGCATCTTGTGCCTGAGTGCGTAGTAACACATGTCCAGTAATTTTTTAATGGGAACGATTGAATCGGTTAGCAGAATTTAGTTCTACGGCAGAAAGAAAAACCCATGATCTAAGTATGTTATATAAAACAGGGTTGCCACTCAAAGAGGAGAATGAAATTCCCTGACTTTTCCAGGTTTTCCAGGTATGTTTCGAGAAAATTCCAGTCTATCCGTGTAATGTACGTTGGCTGTGCTAAGAGGTAAATTAATTATGGTATTACTTGTACTGTGTAGCAAATTCACTTAATTATTCAATAAATCCCAGAGGACATTTATTCATAATTATTCTTGGTACACTTTGTTTGATAATTTTGTTTACTTTTCCGCTTAAAAAACTTAATAAAATTTAAGATATATACATTGGATAACAACTGTACGTTTTATTTAATTATTACTCATGATCATCCCCAGTTGAACATGAGGCTAATCACAACACAATGCTGAAAGTTAGGTTAGATTTTAGGTAAATTTAATTTGTGTGAGGTGTATTCTTAAAAGGCACCTTAACACTTGAAAACACAAATGTAATTATAATAGGAGTTGTTTTCTCCACTGAAGATTGAAATTTGAATCTGCCCAATCTGGAATAAAATAAGGCTTTTTCTGCAGCTAAACGAAAGAAAGAAATCTATTTAATGATATTTTTTTACTTAATTGAGGTATTTTATATTTATTTCGCAGCATACATAAGGAAAAAATATGTGCATTAAATTTCGTGATGTCATCATACTGCTAGAATTAATTTCAGGATTATGCCAGATAAAATTTCCTGAAATTTGGAAATATTATTTACTAATGATAAATAAATTTAGAGGGAAGAAGCAACATTAAATGATATGAATAACATAAAAATAAAGTTAATTACTTAAAAATTTAATTAGAATAATCAACGATATTTTAGCGAATATAGTTATATATGGTTATCCTAGATGATTGATTACTATTTTTTTATTTTACTGCAAAATGACAAGGTATTTATTAAAAAGAAAAGAAAAAAAAGATTTTGTGGTAAAATCCTAGTATACGATACGGCCTTCGCATGATTTTGAAAATTGTCGCCAAGAACAAAATGACCTGTTTACTGCTCATCATCATGTCGCCAAATCCCGCTGTACCATACATGGAGATCATTCTGACCAAAGAACGTCTATATAAAAAGCGGAGGGAAAATTTGCCAAGGGATTTGACGACGGAACGGCCAGAATTTCCCTCTCCGCGATGTGTACAGGAAATTGAGAAACACGTGTTAAGAAGAAACGTTCTTTGACAAAAAAGAAAACTATGAAAATCTGTTTTTAAATTATTGCGAACAATCCAAAAAGAAACGTTTTATCAAAGAATGTTTTTTCTTGGATTTTTCGCAATAATTTTAAAAACGGATTTTCGTAGATTTTTTTTCCTCCCATCAAAATAACTAATCCATGAATTAATTTACTTGTGCCAAAAAATATTTTCTCTTCCTTTAGAGTTTAAAGACATTTTAAACGATATTCATTTTATGAACTCTTGATAACGTGACCTTCGAACTTCGACACCGGTTTCGAGCTTTGGCGACAGATATATCGCGTATGCACAGCTGTTTCCCGCTATGGAACCGAGCCACGTCTGTTGCAGAGAGGTTTTCCTTCTTTATAATACATATTTTTTTAATTCCAACCTTTATGGTACTGTATACTAGGATTAAACCCATTTTGTTTTATACGAGAACAGGTACTTTCTTTAGTTCATGCACTGCACATGCGATTCTCGAGGTTACTGGAAACCAAAAGTTGCGGGAAACTAGCTTGCCTTAAAGACAATCAAATTGGAGCTGCAAAAGTTGGCTCTATGCCAGCTGCCCAAATGACACTCACCTGATACACAATTCGCCAAAAAAGTGATCTCTTCCGACGTCGGTGCAAAACTCGCCTTTTTTGACGGGATTGTTGTATGAAATTCCCTGACTTTTCCAGATTTTGACTAAAACACTTAAATTCCCTGACTTTTCCCTGAATTTTTTGGTCAATTTCCAAATTCCCTGACTTTTTCCAGTTTTCCAGGTAGCGTGGCAACCCTGATAAAATTTTATTTGTTAAGCAATACCTTCAGTCGGCAATAATCACTTACACTAAATATGGATTTAAAAGTCCCGAGTGATCGTTTAAAATCTACCAGCAATCTAAAAAGGCAGATAACTTACCACACCATGGCACTTCTTCCCACCAGGATTTATTATTTGAGAGGAAACAGTAGCATTATATAACATTATATTTTCTGGGGATACCATAGCTTCAAAAAGAAATAATTTATGCCGACCAACTTGTGTTTACCTGGCCTATATTGCTTTGTTTTTCATAAGCTACACACCTCAATTTTTCTGATTAAAATTATCAAAGAATCCTGTGCATGGTATTCGTGAACATATGGTAATTAGCCAACATTTTTTAAAATAGCCAGTGATAAGTTGCCTCTCTTCAAAATTATACTATACTAGTTGCAAAGTTTGTAGTAACATAAGAAACATCTTGGCAGGAAGATGATGTTATTTTGATTCTTATCCCACAGCTGATTTGGTACTGTAATTAACCTCTTGACATACAAATGAAATTCAGTTTTATGTCCTCAGAAACTGTAGGAGTGAAACATTGGAAAATAATAATAATAATAAAACCCAAGCATTGAAATATACATTTTTATACTGTAAACTCCTTTTGAAATGACCACAGTTTTATGTTGTCTGGAATGCATGGAAATCTCTTCTGACTTTAATAATAAATAATGCATCCCATGTCACTGTATAGCCGAAGAATTTCTGGGACATGTTAAAATCTGTTTTGATATTGGATAATAAATGACACATCCAAGCTGACATACGTTGAGGAGTTAAAAGTTTTTGTATACTTCATTTGACTGCATTCTTAATCAAGCAGATTTGTGCAAGTTCTTAGCATTAAACTGTTGCTTTAGTAATCTGATGTAAGGTTAACAATGAGGCATGTCCGGGAGGTAAGTTCTCTTTTGTTCTGCCACTGCAAGGACTCTGTACATGCGCATTATTCTTCCTTGATGATTCTTCCTTTCCACTGATGTTGTTATGATCGATCTGTGTTGTGTTTATAGTTTTGGTTGATCATTAAAAATGTTTAAGACAATTAATGAACCTGCCAACTGTGAGATTCGGTCTGTAAATACAAGGGACATGAAGCATGCTGAACTTAATTGTCAAATTAGTATGATTTATGGTGAGCATACAGTAAATGATAGTGAGAACGTAGGTTTGAACATTCAATGGAGAATTAACAAATGTGCATCTTTAAGCCTGGAGCGAGTGGCCTTCTGTTGTTAATGCTGATTTGGTGACGTGAGTTGATGAAAAACTTTGAGGAAATAGATGCCTTACACTATCATTGCTTCTTGATGAATTTCCAGAAATTTCAAGAACTGTATTTTATTGTTAAGTGGAGTTGTTTCCCACTGTTTAGTAACTGTAAGTTCGATACCGAAAATGCTTACAGATGCCCCAAAAAGCAAGCAACTTGGCAGTGCTTTGATATTTATTATCCAACGCAGTGATAAGAGACATTTTTGAGCCAATTAGTGACTAAGGACAGCCATTGGGTTCATTATAATCCCAAAATCAAAAACAGTAGCAGATGGAATGAAGACATGCAGGATCTCTGAAAAGGAAAAAATTCGAAACATCAACTCAGTAAATCATGTGCACCTTGCTTTAGAATATGAAATCGACACTGTTTGTTGAATTTCTTTCTAGAGATGAAACCGCCAGAGCTGCTCAATAGTGTGAGACTTAGAAGAAACTTCAGTATGTACTTCTTAACAAAAAGACAGGAATGCTTAGTCAAGGTTCTGTCTTGCTTCATGACAATGCTTGGTCCCATTCAGCTGTTATGATTTAAAGGCAAACTAAGGTATTTGTTTATCAGCAGCTCTATTTTTTCGCCCACTGCAGCCCAGAACGGCCGCAATCTGACTACCATTTTTTCCTGTTCATGAAGTATCTTGGGGATCTGTGTTTTAAAAGAGAGAATGACACAAAACACTGTGAAGGTATGGCTGTCATCACTGCCAAGAACTTTCTTTGAGGAAGGAATATGTAAGTTAGTCACTTGCTATGGTAAACATCTCAACATCAGTGGGAACTATTCATGTGTAGAAAAATATCTTAAGAAGTGAAAATAAAATTGGCTTGAAAAACCATTTGTATTCTTTTCTCTAAAAATGGAACTTACTTCCTTGACATGCATCATATAAAACAGGGCATCAGTTATAATACTATAAATTTATTTCATGATTACTGATTAACAGTTTTCTTTTTTAGATATTGGTACCATCATGAATGTGCGAGAAATAACACCTCTAAAAGGATCTGTGTCATGGACAGGGAAACCTGTGTCCTATTTCTTACACACAATTGATCGTACAAAGGTATTGTAATGTCTTTTTAATAAAATACCATTGTTTAAGCTGTACTTCAGTTATAAATTAATTGGGGAAATGTTGTAATAAGTGACATTTATAAGGGAAGAAACTAGAAGACGAGAGGAAAAATATGTGATATGTGTAGTGAAGTATAACTTCTATGGAACCTAACATAAAAATGTATTTCATTGCATTCTTAACTATAATGTAAATACTGTCGTAATAGAATGCAAAAATGTGTATAATTTAGACAAAGATCTAGATACTAAAGAAGTATTGCACAGAATACTTCATGTGCAATGAGCCTTATCTGTTTTAAAGTTGAATTTACTTGTAACGACACTTTATAATAGGCAGCAGAAAAAATGTAAATTATGGGTGTTAATAAGAATATGTGAACGAATGTAGTAAGTGGCACTCACAGCAAAGTCATGGCAAGCATAGGAATCTAGTGTTTGTCCTTGCTTAATTTGAATCAATGTTATAGAAGGTTGTTGCATATGAAGTGTGGGATGTGGTAGTGAAACTTCAGGCAGCAGAGTTCTGTGAAATCAAAGTATGCATCTTTAAATTCATTACACGTATCTCTCAATGAGATACAAGTGCATTCATGCAAGTTTTAAGTATATCAAATGTGTTAAGAAATATATAGGCAGAATAATGAAACAAGAAATTCATAATTAAACAAAAACTGCTTTATTGAACTGTGCAGCTTAGCAATGGTGAGCAAGCAAGTTAACACAAAATGAATGTTAAATTTGTGTTACCAAAACCTGAAACAATTACAAATTATTTTTTATACATAACGTGGACTGTAACTGCTTCTTAATAAAATTGTTTCACAGGAATTGAATGATAGAAAACTGTATGCATGCTGGTAGCTAAATTTGCATATAGAGCAGCACAAACTGAAGTGGTTGCAAAGTGCATTGACTTTTAGCATACTACCTTGAAGAAAATAGACATTTTTAAACAGTATTGTTGGTGTGAGTAAAACTCGGTTATTACATGCAACCCCCAATTCCAAATGACAGTTAATGGGAGGATATGTAGCATCAGCAGAGAAAACATATGAAGGAAACATTTTCCAAAGTTAGAAATTGTGTGCTGTTTTTTCGGACATGAAAGGAGTTTTGCTTGTAGATGTATGTAAAGGATCCAGGATCAAGAGGGCTGTGCATTACCAAAGCCTTAAGAAAGTGCGTCATGCAGTTCAGCATATTGTGCCATGCTTTCCAGGTACGGTTCTTCACAGATCTGCCTTTGCATGAAGGCTGCTATATGGCAGTTTCTAGCCGCCTTTGGTTAGAAAGAAATCACGCAACCTCTTCAGCATCAAAACCTAGCTGCAAATGACTTCATCTGTTCCACAATGAAATTTGCCCCTGTAGCCAGTAGCTTGAAGACAACAAAGGCAAAGAAGCAACCTGTCGCAACTTTTAATTTTTTGTGATGGTTGCAGTAACAGATGTTAGTCATTTGTAGTGAAGGGTTTCATGATAATTGGAAATGCTGTGGTAGAAATTATAGCCTTGTAAAGTTTTTGGTTTACTTAGCAGTAAAAACATTTCTTTCTTTCTTTTTTTTTTTCCCTTGTAAGTGTGTTGATTTCTGATTGTCATGTCGTGCATTTGATTTAACAATAGGTTTAGAGGAATGTGTATAATGTCACAATAAATTAGAATAAAAGTGTAAAAGAAGAAATGGAGATATTATGCAGTACAAAGTCCGAAATCCAGACATCCGTTATCTGGAATGTTCTAAAATCCAGATTTCAAAGCCACTTTTTTTTTTTTTTTTTTTTTTGTGTTGTGTGTGTGTGTGTGTGTGCTTTATACATGCGAATTTGATTTTTCCTTCCATAATAAAACGTGGAGATTTTCACGTAAGAATTCTGATTCTTAATTTCACTTAAGCACTAAATAAAATACCTCATTATGAAAAAACAATCATGTAAGCATAAATTTGTGAGATTAATAATTTGGCTCTATAGCTGAGTATCTACTTGGCATACATCTCAAACCGAAACATTCACCTATTTTATATCCCTGATGCCGACCTGGTGAGTCATTATTTATTATATATTTTGCTTTCATCACTGCATGTTTGTCAATACATGAGAGCTTCAGTAATAACTCATGCAGTGATATCTAAACTTTTTTATACAGTACAGAATCTGAAATCTGGACTTGTCAGGACTTTGGCGATTCCGGATTTGGGATTTTTCTGGATGTTAGATCATCAATTTAAATCTGGTAAGAAGGCATGCAGAAATTACACAATTAAAAATATGAAATCATAATTTATGAAATAAATAACAATTCTTATCTAAAGGGTATCCAAATTTACAAAAGCTTAATATTTATTTGTTTACTTTATTAAACATTCTTTCAATATAAGCTGTTTAAGTTGCTTCCACCAAAAATTCGTAAAGTTCTTTTTTCTTATCTCACATACAGTTGACTTTCCTCGCATAATATCACACTCCTCGCATAATTTTGTGAGGGTTATGCTTTTATCCATTTTTTGCAGGAATTCCACTTTTTGTTTAATGGACATCGAAACATGGTTTTGTTTTGTATATCCTTTGGCAGCTGCAGAATTGGAAACTCTTTTCAACATAATCGAAAGTTCAAGCTTAATTTTTATAAAATTGCCATAATAATAACAGTCTGCAAAAAATAAATGAGCTGGATCAAACTAGAAGATTAGGGAGCAGCACAGTCCGGTGCATTAACTGAAATGCCTTAAAATCAGTAAAGATAATTTTAGCCTAGCATAATAGTGTCCGTTATACATTATTGGCTGTGTATCACTATCACTAGATTGGCGATGAAAGCCAGGTTGTTTTGCTAAATTTTGTCTTGCTCCTATTGCATACTGAATTAAGCCTGAATTGTATTAGTTTAGTTATTTACTATACCTACATTTCTTTATTGCACATGCTTAAAACTAATCTGAGTCCTGAATAAATAAACTCCCTCATATACTTATACTTAATGCTTTATCTAAGGATGGCGCTAAATACCGCCTCATGCAGTTTCTACGATTCCTAAATTCTGTTACAAAGTGCCTACCTAAGTTCTAAATTTTCACTGCACCTAAATTTTGCATCCCAGTGCTCTCCAGTGCTTTCCCTAAATCATAAAAAACCTCTCATCACTTAAATTTGCCACTCGGTGCTTCCCCAAATTCCAAAAATTTTGTCTTCCCTAAATTCTGCTGTCTGGTGCCGACATATTCTGCCACCACTTCTGGGTTTATGGTGAATAACATATCGGTTATTGTTAATTAAAATAGCACTAAATGTAATCGTTTGGTCTATGTGTTTCATTAACAAAATCTATTTTTAGCATATGAATAACTAATAAATAACTGATATGTTATTCACCATAAACACAGAAGCGGCGGCTGAATATGTCGGCACCGGACAGCAGAATTTAGGGAAGACAAAAGTTCTGGAATTTGGGGAAGCACCAAGTGGCAAAATTAAGGGATGAGAAGTTTTTTTATAATTTAGGTAAAACACTGGGATCTAAAGTTTAGGTACAGCAAAAATTAAGAACTTAGGAAGACGATTTGTAGCAGAATTTATGACCCACAGTGTCTGCACCAGGTCTAGCGCCGGCCGTAGATAAAGCTTTAAATATATGTGTCTCCAGATACATAAAAAAATGCTTGGCATAATTTATGGCCAGCTACCATATTTCATTGAGGATGATGAAGATGACAGCCATGAATTTGAAGGCATCATTTAATGTTTTAGTGAAAGATAATGTATCTGTATTATTCTTTCCTTCAAACTGTATGTCCATCATTCAGCCTATGGATATCGGAATAGTGAGCATGCTCAAGAGCAAATATAAAGTAGTATTTTTAAAATCCATGTTAAATTTCTTGAATAATGGCAAGATTATCCAAGAGTTCTCGAACTATTTTAGCATAAAATCTGTTGCGTGGAGCACCACAAAATTGTAGGAGGATGTGCCTTCAGATACTTTAAAAAATGCTTGGCATAATTTATGGCTAGCTACCATATTTCATTGTGAGTATGATGATGACACCTGCGAATTTGAAGGTTTTAGGATATCACAAACCACTGGTGAAATTTTTCAATTTAAAAGTTGAGTACTTATAAAGATTGTATTTTAGTATTTATAATGATTTTATAACTACCAAAATATTAGTAGTTATAAAGTCTACAATGTTTCGGTTTGAAATGTATGCCAAGCAGATATGCAGCTATGGAGCAAAATTATTGATCACACAAATTTATGCTAAAATGAGTGTTTCTTCAATAACAAAGTATTCTATTTAGTGCTGAAGTGAAATTAAGAATTGGGATTCTTCACATGTTTTATTATAGGGCATGCATAAAGCATAAAAAAAATTCCTTATATGCATGCGTAAAGCATAAAAGAAATTCGTAAAAAAATTTTTTGTTGGTAGCTTTAAGGTCCGGATTTTAGATTGAACGTCCGGATCTCGGACTTTGTACTGTATTACAAAAATTTCTCCTGAAGTGAATAAAAAACTACAATTAAATGTTTTTGTATTTTAAGCAGCCATTAGACATGATCAGTAATATGGATAGAATATAAATATACTGCCAGATGTTGAATTAGGATCCACTGTATTGTGTAGGCTTGTAGTTATAAAGGGAATTTTATGAATGTGGATTTCCTTTACACAGTAAAATGAAACTGTGTCCTGTATCCATACGTGTGCATGAGAATGAATTTTCTGGCAGTGTATAATCACAACATTTTAGGTAAGTTCATCGGGCTGTATTTATTGTTTTAACAATTTTTTTTTTCAGAATATTTCATTCTATTTGCTTGCATATTAGTTTTTTTTTTTTTTTTTTTTTTTTTTTTTTTTTTTTTTTAAGTAATGGTGCATAATGATATTTATCTGTGATTTTAGGCCCAATGAAAAGTTGTAACCTGAGTACATTTAAATGCATTTTTTCTCTTCTCTAGGATCTCATGAGAATCAATTCTGCTTAACTGTAATATAGTTATAGA